CTTCCAGCGATTATCCTCAGAAAATGCGAGGCACGGACAGGTCACGAGTATCTGAAACATGTTTTAGGAATCGGCCTTTTAACGCGGCTGCCGTGCGCGGTCGCCACCCACGCCGACAGGAATACGGATAGGTGCAGGTAATACATGGTATACGGAGCCACGACAATGGCCGTGTTGCACAATGAGAAGAAGACGAAGGGAAGCAGCGCATTGAAAGGCAAATGAGGCCCCTGCGCGGGGCCGGTGCTCCTCTTCTTCTTCTTCTTCTTCTTCTTCCTCGCTTTCGGTACGTCATCTCCTTTCTATCGCGCACCCACATCCGCTGCTGCCTTTTCAAGTAGCACCCCAAAACACACCTTACGCAAATTAATGTCGCATGTTAACCAGGCCCGCCACGAATGACCGAGACGACAGAGCGCCTGAGGACAGTCGGCTCTCGTCATCGTCGTCTTTAATAATGATTCATCGCCATACGGCGCGACTAATTGTTTACCGGTCGTTCACAATGCCAGCCAACCAACCAGCCAGCGAACACTTCTGGCGATGTCGCGCCTACACCATACATATGCATTTATGTACCTTTTTTTTCGGTCCGGCCGTTTTCCACCTCGTTTATAATTTCGCTCGTTCAACGTTGCTCGCCTTCTGTCTTTTCGTCGCTCGTTCGCGTTACTCTTGTCATTCGAGTATTTCGTTAATTATGGTTCCTGATTCATACGTCCGGTTTATTCGTTTCCGTAATACTTTACGTAAGCCGATTTTTACATAATTACATTCATACTCCTTCTTAGATTATCTTTTTCTATAGCCACGAAACATGAATAGTTTTTCTGCATCTAAATACAATTTTAGGAAAGCAAGAAACTTTACTTACATATTTTTACAATTTTTATTTCGGCATATAAAACAATTTTTTTTATGTAAAAGTAATCTTTTGGCATTCTTACAAGTAAAAGTTGTTACATTAAAAGCTTTTATTAATGTTTATACTATCGCAGATGTATTATAAATGCCGTGCAACAAAAAAATCGTGCTAGATTTCATTGAACGATGTCCTTAACATACTTTATACGCGCAGGTGGCTCAGGCACGATACGATCTCCAAATTAATAATGCAACGATTAATAATTCAACCGACCTAATAACTTTAACCGAGCTGATTATTCGCAAGGCGTGCATGAGGTCTAAGCACCGGCTTTGCGATCCTCACGTGCAAGTTTAGATAGCATCCCAGTATATACAAATATTAAATGCAAGGTGTTAATAAGTTAATGATAATTCGAAGAATATATGAAGCAATGTGGAATTGTATCGCTGTGCACTGCGTTTCCGAGATCGGGTAGAAACAATCACCATCTCGCGTGGTGAATGTGAAATTCAATTGAATTTACACGGCTCTCGTGTGTACTTTTTATCAATAATGTTCAAACTGAATTAATATGTTTCCATTATAAATATCTTTGAATCAAGTATATTTCAATGTTGAATTTTTATATGTAAATTATATAATGTATGGAAAAAAATGATATATTTGGAAACTTGTATCTGCAGTAGATACATGAATCTGTTACGTGAATGTCGTTTACTGGCTGTTGATCTGTATTTTAAGCACTGACAAACAACTCACCAGAGGAGAAATACACTTTAATTTACATAACTAAAATTAAAACTTGCAAGTTAAAAAATATTTGAAATAGAATTTCTCTCTTTCTCTTTCTCTCTGCTATTATAGATATATAAAATCTCTGTAATTCAATATTGTACAGTAGTAATGTAGTATATACGTATATTCACGTATTTATATATCTAATAATATCTAAACTTGGACACAAACACACACACACACACACATGAGAAACAATATGTCTACATAAAACAGATAAAAAAATACGGATATCATGTATAAATAATTCTTATAAACTTTTTGCGTGCGTTTTTCTCTTTTTCTTGTGATTGAAAGAGTAATAAATTTGAATAAAGAAACAAAAGAAAGAAATATAAGGATTAATAATTTCAACGAGGCAGAAAACACATTATACGTCTAGATAACTTTTATTAACCAATATAATCATATATCGTTACAAATGATGCGGCAATGACGTGCCGATGCAACTCGGGTTACAATGAAACTGGTTTTGTTAACGGTATACAATGAAAATAGGAATTGATGTGAATGAGCGAATTTACGAAAATTTACAGACGTATTCGTCGCTATTCGACATTCGAAGAACTGCTTACACCACAACATGTAATTTATACTTTTATTTTTTTTTTTTTGTGTCCTGCCTGCCATTATCGCCTGCTCCGACGAAACGTTAACTTCTTCCGTTCTATGCCTGCCATTGTCCTCGCTTCCTCCTTCAATATAGTGTATCTCTGGTAAATCCGTGAGTGATGTCATTTGTGCGCGCGCATATGTATATGTATGTATGTATGTTGCGTATAACTGTGTGTATACGTGTACAAACTGTAATTATACTCGAAGACATCGAAAACTCACTACATTATGTTAAATAATAATGTGTCGCGGATTTGCTTCCGGCGCGCATACATATGCAAATTCTTGCTATCTTTTTTTCCGTTTATTTCTTGCAGATTCGTGACTTAGAGCTATATGAAATGAAATTACGTGCTGTTATTGCTATGAAAGAAAATTGCATTACTTAAACATCTGGGCACACTATATTTTTATGATTAAACTATTTATTTAAGTAGATAGTATCGGTCAATTATATATTCACACACATATAAAATATGTAAATACTATTTACGTAAATGAAAACTTATATAATGGCATATGAAAAATGGCATTTGCGCTTTAAACTTGCACAAATAATTCTGTCGGTCCCGAGTAAAAATGAAAAAAAAAAAATAAATAAACATCAGTGCAATCATTTGCAATTGAAATCTCAGTTCTCGCATTTGATTCTCTGGCCTTATCGCAAATCCGCGACTCACTAGTTAGGCTTACGGCTACTATCGAGATATTGATGTACATATACAAGAATCGTGGTTTTTTTCTCCTTACAACACGGGTATAGAGTATACAAAGACGTTGTTTGCCGAAGAAAAACAGTTCGCATTGTATCATTCTTTTTCCTTCTGTTTATCTCTTTCTCTCTCTCGTTCGCGTTTTCTCTTGTCTCATTCTCTTATCACGCACACGTATATCGAGGGCTACGCATTCGCATTCGTTAAGGAAGGGCCTCGGTTTCATATATCTTTCTTCTTTATAGCTTTTTCATTTATGAGAAATTGATAAAGGATTATTGGCTCTCTTTCTGCGTATGTTTCTTTCCTCTTTC